GGGTCGAGCTGGGCCTAAACCCCTGTGTCCAAGGCCAGGCTGGACGGGGCTCACGGGAGGTGTCCCTGCCCAGGCCCTGGATGAGCTGAAGGTGCTTCCACCCCAACTGGGTCGGGGTGGGTCGGGCTGGGCTGCCTCCCGAGGGCAGCATTCCCGAGATTCCCGAGATTCCCGCTCACCATGTAGTAGCCAGGCAGCAGCTTCTGCAGGAACTCGGCCTCCTTGTGCTGCACGGTCTTGATGATGAACTCGTCGTCGCCGGACACGTAGAAGAGGGAGCCGCTGGCGCCCGAGTTGGAGAGCTCGATGAGGGGCTCGCTGCACAGGGAGTACTGCGGGAAAGGGGGGAAAAAGGGGGTCAGGGAACACGGAATTCCGGCAGGGAACGGGCGGGGGACTCGCCCGGCGCCGGGCCCGGGCAAGAAATCTCTGGGTTCAAGTGTTGGGGTAAAAATTAAATGAGTGTGTGTGCAAAGGTTTCTGAATATTTGTGTGATAGTCAAAAGAATTACATATTTTATATTATATATTATAGATTTTATATTATAAATTATATATTATATATTATATATTATATATTATATATTATATATTATATTATAAATTGCAAATTATATATTATATACTATACATTACATATTATATACTATATATTATATATTACATATTATATACTACATACTATATATTATATAGTATATAATATTAAAGTATATACACATAATATTATAGTATATACATACTATATATTATATAACACATATTCTATATTACATATTATATATTATATAGTGTATATTATATAGTATATATTATATAGTATATATTACATAGTATATATTATATAGTATATATTGCATAGTATATATTACATATTATATATTAAATAATACATATTATGTATTACATATTACACATTACATATTATATATTATATACTATATATTACATATTGTATATTATATAATGCATTATTATATATTACATATTATGTGTTACATATCAGATATTATATGCCAGATATTATATATTATATACTATATATTACCTATTGCATATCATATATTACATATTACATATTATAGACACCATTCAAAAGAATGCTGTGAAGAACACCCATTCTAAACTCTGGGAATTGGGAAAATTGCCCAAAAAATCCCCAAAAAATTCCCAAAAAATCCCGAAATTCAAAAAAATATATTACATATTATATATAACACATTGTATATTATATATTACATATTATATACACCATTCAAATGAATGCTGTGAAGAACACCCAGTCTAAACTCTTTGAGGAACTGGGAAAATTCCCCCAAAAATTCCCTAAAAAATCCTGAAATTCAAAAAAAATATATTACATATCATATATTACACACTGTATATTATATATTACATATTACATATTATATATTACATACACCATCCAAAAGAACGGTGTGAAGAACACCCATTCTAAACTCTGGGAATTGGGAAAATTGCCAAAAAAATCCCCCAAAAAATCCCCAAAAAATCCCCAAAAAATCCCNGAAAGGCTGGAGGGAGGAAGGAGTTTGTTGTTCGTTCACTCAAATTGAGGCTTCGGAGCAAAAGATCTCGGGCTCAAGCTTTGAAATTTGGCCCTTAGGCCGAGCTGAACATGTCAGGATAAAGCTGGGTCTAAACTCTCAGGGCTGCAGAGACACTGGACAGAATTAGGGAGGAAAACAAGGTGTGTTTGGGATACAACCCCAGCACAAACATCTGTGGGGTTAGGAGGAGTTTATCAGAATTTAGGCTGAGCTCAGTGCATCAGGGTCGAGCTGGGTCTGAACTCCCGTGGCTGCAGAGACACTGGACAGAATTAGGGAGGAAAACAACGTGTTTTACACAGCACAAATATCTGGGGGTTTAGGAGGAGTTTAAAGAGCTGAACTCTGTGCAGCCAGACTGAGCTCAACCTTTGAAATCTGGCCCTCAGGCCGAGCTGGATGTACCAGGGTTGAGCTGGGCCTAAACTCTCAGGGCTGCAGAGACACTGGACAGAATTAGAGAGGAAAATGTGTTTGTGGGATACAATCACAAATATTTGTGGGTTTAGGAGGAGTTTATCAGGATTTAGGCTGAGCTCAGTGCATCAGGGTCGAGCTGGGTCTGAACTCCCGTGGCTGCAGAGACACTGGACAGAATTAGGGAGGAAAACGTGTTTGTGGGATACAATCACAAACATCTGTGGGTTTAGGAGGAGTTTATCAGGATTTAGGCTGAGCTCAGTGCATCAGGGTTGAGTTGGGTCTAAACTCTCAGGGCTGCAGAGACACTGGACAGAATTAGGGAGGAAAATGTGTTTGTGGGATACAATCACAGCACAAATATCTGGGGGTTTAGGAGGAGTTTAAAGAGTTGAACTCTGCGTGGCCAGACTGAGCTCAACCTTTGAAATCTGGCCCTCGGGCCGAGCTGGATGTACCAGGGTCGAGCTGGGCCTAAACCCCTGTGTCCAAGGCCAGGCTGGACGGGGCTCACGGGAGGTGTCCCTGCCCAGGCCCTGGATGAGCTGAAGGTGC